ATAGTATTAGAGTTCCTGAGTTTTCAAGGACAAGAGTAACCTGATTAAAAAAAAAAAAAAAAATCACAAAAACCACCACTCAAGTTTTGATGCCATATTTTACCAGATTAATGGTTTCTGGTTTGTATACCATAATTATTTTTAAAACTGACCCATTACATTTGAAAATAACTTGCATGAAATCACAAGTAAAAGGGGTCAGTCGCCTAGGATTAAACAAAATTTTTAAAGCTATCATATATCAAGGGCTGTAAGTTGGTATCAGAAAAAATAATAATTCAAATTCATAATAAGTTTAAGTGAAAACATAACTATGTCATCAAAAATAAATATTAAAAATAGTTGGAATGTGTTCAACTCTGATAGGTTAAAAAAAAAAAAGAAAGAAAGCTAAAGTTTAAAATGGAAACTACTTAAATTGATAAAGAATTTCAATGACAGAACTTTTTTGCTAAAGCAACGGAATTTGTAAATTATATCATTCAAAACTCATTGTATTACATTATAAAGGTCTTGGCAACGGTTGGCCATAAATCTTTAACACAAAGGAGATTCAAATCCAAATGAACTGTAAGACTATCTCTTCCAGGAGAGAAAAATAGAGTATTTTACTTTATCCACGATTGTTTAACTAAAAGGAAGGCCTTTAAAGATGATAACGCAGAATGGATCAGCTTCAGTCTACCAAGTCCCATTTCTCACGAAGTCTTGCACCAATCCGAAGAGAGGTGGTTATGGACACAAAATAGGCTTAGGAAAGACTGAGAAAAATCTCCAATGAATGACATACCACATCATGGCTTATTCTCCTACACAATTGGAGAAATAAAAAAGAAAAATATCATACCATATGTTTCACCGTATCAATCAAAAAATAATATACGACGGTACATTCAATTCTTTCCTTTGAGGCTGAAAAAATAATTTAGCTTCTGTTTTATTGATTACATAGAAGAGGGGAAAGCAGTTGCTGCAATGCAACACAGCCTGCCACAGAAGAAGGGGAGAAAAGGGTTTTCCAAACAAAACCCTCCCCCGCCCCGGCTTACACACCCCAAACAACTTACTTACCCTAGCCTTTTACTGCCCTCCGCCAGTGTAAACCTAATAAATTCTTTCCCTTCCCCCACCTTCGTAAAATTTCACCTTTCAGTAGCTCCTTCACCTACCCCTACCAGAGGCGCTTTATTACCCGCAGAGATTTCAGACCCTTCAAACTTTTCTTTTTTAATTAAACGAGAGACTTTTGTACTAAAAGTGCACGAAATTTTTACATATATACGGAAGAATACCTGTTTCCCAGCAACAAGCACGCTTCGATTCTCGAACCCCTCCCCATCTCCCGGGTTTTGCTTGCAAAGGCTGGGGTGGGGGGGGAGGGAGCCAGGCTCAAATTAAAATTAATAAGGGAAATCCTAGATGAAAAAAGAGCATTTGAGGGAAAAACGGGAGAACCCCCCAAATCAGAGAGATTGGGGTCGTTTACGAGAAAGAGAAATTAGAAGGGACAAAAGGGAGAGGGGGGAGGAAGAGACCGGAGACCCGCGGAGACGCGCGGGGCCGGGAGAGGGAAGGCGGGGTCCGTGGAAAGCGGGGGTCGCGGCTCCCGCGGCACAATGGCCTGCCCGGCCCCCGCCCCGCGCGCCCCTCACCTCATGGTGCCGGCGGCGCGGAGGCTTCCCCAGCAGGCGGGGGACGCCGAGCCAAGAGGGTCTCTCCTCCAGGGGCGGGGACGCAGCTCGGAGACGGGAGACAGTGTCCGGCTCCTGCTTCGGCGGCCAGAGGGCTACACCATCTCCTCGCACAAAGCCGAGGCGCCGGCCGGGAGTGTAAGAGAAGAGAGCAAGAGAAAGACTGGGGAGGGGGCGGAGAGGCCGAGGCGCGGAGCTGGTCCCCCGGCAGCCGCCGCCTCCCACCGCCTCCTCCGGTTTCTCCTCCTCCTCCCGGAGCTTCCTCGGCCGCCCTCTGAGAGGTGCCCGCCGGGGCCGCGCGCCCGGCCGCCGCTCCACAGGCCCGCGCTCGCCGCGCCCGCCGTCGCCGCCGAGGCCGTGTGCAACCCGCAGCTGCTGCAGTCGCGGGAGGAGAGTCGGGATCGCCGCGAGGAGCCCGGGAGGAGGCGGGGCGCGCGGCGGAGGAACACGCAGGCGCCGCCCTCCTCCCCTCCCTCCCCCGGGGGCGAGGGGGCGGCGCGGGGGGGAGGGGAGGCGGGGGCCGGGCGCACCCCCGCGCTGCCGGCCGGGCCCCCGCCGGACTGCGGAGAGCGGGGAGGGGCGGGCGCGGGCTCCGCGACGGCAGCTGAGGAAAGGCTCTTTGTTGCTTCCCCGCCCCGCCCCCCGAGCCCCCTGCGATCCGTGCTGCTCCCCCAGCCGCTGTCGGCGGGGGTTCCTAGCTCGTAGTTGTCCTTGGCCGTCGGCCCCCCTCCCCGTCGCCTCCTGCTCCGCGAAGGCTCGGAGAGCTCCCGGGCCTCCTCCGGGGCCGGGATGAGCCGACTAAGACGCCGAGACCTCCCGGGTGCCGGACCCGCGGGCACTGGCTTGAGGAGCCGAGATGCGTGACTGGGCACCCAGCCCAGCCGCGGGGCTCCAGGGCTGCTAGCGGCAGAGAGCCCCCGTGCAGGGCTTGTCCTCAGCTCGCCCTGTTGCTTGCTGAGGACCGGGACAAGCGAGTGGGTGGGCATCCCGGTCAGACCCACTGCCCGCCCCCCGCCGCGCTGCTGCTCCCAGCGATTCCTCCGGGATTTGGGGGCGTTGGAGGGGGGAAACCATATAAATGTAAAATATGGTCATCATTGTTCTCTCCGTTCCTTTTCTTCCCGAGGAATCCCAGCGTGCTGTACCAATTTAATGAGCTGATATGCACACTATGTATAGGGATGACTTCATCCCCCCAAATGAACGCAGTCAACTCGCGGGAAAACGCAGTCGCGGGGAGACGCGCGGAACCGTGTGCAGCCGCAGGAGTAGAAAAGAAACGCAGCGGGTATAACCTCTATCGTCACCAGCGAAAAGGGAATCCCGGACTGGGGGCGGGGAGGGATGGGAACTAATGATAATTTGAATGTTCTATCATTCACCTAGTCTTCATCTCCCTGGAAAGGCATATATAAAAATACAGGCAAGGCAAACGTTTCAAGTCAAGTGGCGGTAGGGGGGTCTAGGAAGCCAGAATTTATAGTTGTGGGGTTTTTTTTTTGTTTTGTTTTGTTTTTTCAGTATCCAAAACAACTCCTATAATCTAGTGAAAGTTTAAACAGGACAAATTGCAGCCGTTTTGTATTTCAAGTAGAGAAATGTATATTCTATATAAAGGTGACTAGAATGGAAAAGATTTGCTGCTACAGGGTTTCTACTTACTGAAGGCACTAATCCAAAATGGAGGACCTACCTTGACTCCAGGAATCCATTCAAAAGTTTTAGTGTTTTTAAGAGCCGAGTACAATTCAAAAGATAGTCATGAAAGTTGGAATAATGTACATTTCCAAATGAAAAGTCAACAAGTTATAGTCATCGTTGGTCAATGCCTGACTTGTCTGTAAAAGGACGGTGTAACCCAGTTTTAACTATAAAAAGCTTCCTAGATCTAGAGCTCAATACCGAGTTATTTTCTTTTTGGAACTTGCAGCCGCAGACCAACCGCCCTGCAGAAGCAGTGACCTGGAGCGATGGCACAGGACCAGGGTGGCCTCAGGTAATAAAAAGCATGGTGCCTCTGCCTTAAACATAGTGTACTTGAAGAACACTAATTTCCACCCACATATCTAATTACAGCCTACCATCACAGAGCATTTTATTCAAGGATCTCCAAGCACTGGGGAAAAAACAGACTTACCAGTCAAATATCTTTGTTGCCATATTACCAGTAGAGACAAAATGTAGGGCTCAAGCAACTGAATGAGTTAGTACAATAGGCATGATTAAAAAACATAGCTACTATTAGGTGCACTGTCAATATGTTTACTTATTATAGTTTACAGTGCTTGCACCTCAAGTATTCTCCAAGTTAAGGAACATTTTCTTGGAGACTTTTCTTGGAAAAAGTATTAAGACATATTGAACCATCTTGGGAGAATATTAATAAGACATATTCAAACACAAAGTCACATCAGTTTTCTTTTGTACGTTCATAGCAATACAGTAAATCCAACAGAGCTTGTGTTTCAGGGAAAACTCTTACAAAGGGCCAAAAGGGGTGGAGAGATTGCTGTAATGACTCAAGCTATCTCCTGCCAGATACAAGAAACAAGGATAAAAATTCCTTACAGATGACTCCATAACCTACTTCTCGTTTGTGAAAGTTAATCCATCCTGAGCTAAATAAGTTATATATCACATCATCTTTATTCTAACAACAAATGTTCCAATGGTATGGGCACCAAATTAAGCAATCCAAGTAGAAAATGCTGTTCTTATTTTCTATGTTTATTAAAAATGTACCAGCCAAGAATTTTGGCTGCCTACAACCATTTCCATCCTTTTGAATGGCAGCCTGCCAGCTTACAAGTTGGTCATACCATTGCCTTTGGATTTAATATTGCAATGGGTGGCCTGACCTCCAAAGGTCATTCTGTGGAAGGGCAATTTGTTGGCTGTGACAAAATGTTATTGCTTCTTGTTCATATTTGGTTTAACATTCAAAGAGGGCAAAAGGGAAGCTTGAGTTAGGAAATCACAGACTAATTCTGGTCACAAAGGAAACTTTGTGGAATGTGTTACTATATAGAACAAAAGAATTTTAGAGATGGAAGGAATCTTAAGTCCAACCCACTCATTTTTAGAAAGAGGAATGTGAGACCCAGAGAGGTTAACTAACTTGCTCAGAGTCTTGCAGTTCTTTGGTGATAAAACTGGAACTTAAACCCAGGATTTCCAGTCCTTGATCAACTGGTCCTTCTACCATGTTCATACCACCTTCCTATAGTATAAGTAAGAGTGCCTTAAGAAGGGTAGGAAGTGGGGAGGGAGGGGGAAAGTGCTGGGACTATAGTGTACATGTACAAATAGGTAACAACAAATTCTTTTGAGTATGTACAACTGTAATGCACCACTTTAAAAATGTGAAAAAGAGTACATTAAGACAATAAAAATTAAAGGCAATTATCTTCTTATAAACTTTGCTTAAAAATTAAAGTTGGCTTGGCTGAATGGTGAAAACCATTTGAACTCTTCTCATAAAGCTTGCCTGGCCTAAAGCCCGGTACCTGGCCAATCTCATAGGTGCCCCAACATTTGAGAAGTGAATAAATAAATAAATGATTATGTGAAATAATGACTTCTCTAATATAAAATAAATATAAAAAATGTTCATAATAAGTATGTCAATATTCTTTTTTATGGGAGGGAGCTCTGGGGATCAAAATGAGGGACTTATGTATGCTCAACTAGCACTGTGCCACTGAACCTCCCCCAGTAGCAACTTTCTTAACACCAAGAATATGGATCTCAACTTTCCCTATTACAAACTTTTCACCCCAGCTTAGTATCACAGTAGGAGGCCTGCTCCAAGCCCTCAGTGAATACCGCCATCGCAAATTGGTCTACACGTCTGTTAGCAGTGTGCACTCAGACGGAAAATGAAACAAAACATGCTTCTGTTGAAGATGGGTTTGCTGCAGGAGTGTTGTCAGTCTAGCTCTGAGGGTTCTCTTGGAATAAGCCTTGTTTAAATTCGTCTGATAGCATCAGTGTAGGCTTGTCCTCCATTTATGGGCATGAGGAGGATGCGTGACTAATGCTACTCAGCAGTCAGGAAATTGGTGCTAAGGTTTGAAGGCACAGTCTTCCCCCATCACCCAATAAAAAAAAGGTTCCCCCTGGAATTACTGTGGATGGATGAGGAAAAGGTAGCTTGGAGTGAACCTGATTGTACGCTTTCTACATATATCATATAGCAGTGTTGTATTTTCCTTTGTAGCAGTTAGGTTTCAGTGTGATTTTTGGTTTGTCTCCCAAGAATGGGAAAAAATAATGTAGAACATGACATTCTAGCGGGATTGAAGATATTTTTATTACTCCTCTTTCAGCTTTAGCTGCCCATACATAATCTCAGCTCTAAAACATTATCAGGAGACATTAGAGAAAAACTATTTGCCTTTCTGCCATTAGCATTTTTCTTTCATTTGTCATTTGTCTAATTTTCCAAATTAGGATTTATTCAGTGAGTTTCATTTCTAAAGTGTCTCTTTACTTAGCTTGATACCATTCCCATAGCTGGAAATGGTATTAGGGTTGCATTAATTGGTAGAAGCCATATTCTTTTGGGTTTTTTGTTTGTTTGTTTTGGTGCTGGGGATTGAATCAACTGAGCAGAAGCCATATTCTATAAAATGCAATGTAATATTTCCACAAAATTCAGCCATGGCTGCCGTTAAAGAATATGGCAGGAGGGCTCCATTTCTAGATAATTAAACCATGTTGCTTTTGAAATTGGTTGAAAAAAGTAATGTCATAATCTAATTCTGAACGCTTATATTATAAAAGCTAGCTGGTACGTTGGGAAGAAAACCAGAGTGGTTGACCTCTTTCTGGCATTGAAATGATTTATTTGTCCTATTTACTGTAATCAAACTTGAGAATACCTGTCAATTTTCATGGACATTATGAATAGGTAACAAGTGACCTTGGAATATTTATTTTCCAGAGGAGACTAGAAAAAAAGGTA